ACGTAAGGCCAGCGACTCGTCTAAGAAAGATATTGTCATCATTTCCACTATTATCAATTCTATCGGCCAATAATTTATTTGATAAAGTAAGAACATCATTTCAAAGCATTCATAAATAATACTGTGATATTAGACGTCTATTTCTTGCAGAAACGGTTCTAGTCGGTTCACAAGTACATTTCTTCTGGAAATGGTGAATTTTGGGAGTAACACACATACAGGAATATAAGATTTGATCAGTTTTAAGCGCTTGAGCAGTCGAATAACGGCGGAAATATTTCTATATTGTCTTGTTTTTGAACTTCCTTGTTGAATTAAACGTTTTCTTTAGTCCATCTCTAACATTGATTAAATTGGCATATTAAAATAGAGAAAAACGTACATGATTTCTTTACGCGGGAGACGGTATAATCTTGTGGTAAATCACAAACGGGAAGACAGCGCATAAAATAGTCTTAATTAGGGACATCTGACGTTATGGACCAAGCTCGGTCCGCCTTCAGAGTACAATGACAAAAGGCACGTAATGTTTTCATTCGGGTCTGGTTGACCTGCTTGATAAATGGTTCAGTGTTTGCTTTCTGGCCTTAGGCAGCCGCTTGATGTTTGCGGTCCATGTGTGGCTGGCGTCTGTTTCGAGGTCACGATTGATGCAGTTCGCTGCTTTAATCAATGACGCTTCTTTGACTTTGCGGGAAAGATATTGTTGCTCCCGCACGACACTTTCATTCTGCCCCACGATATGTTGTATCGGTGGGTAACAGCATGTTCCATAGTGGCAGAATTTTTCTCGCATTCTGCCTTTGTAAGTCCAGGGTTTTTCGCCTGTCTCCGACCTCTGCCGACTTGCTGTTGACCCCTTTCTCTAGCTTCAGCGTTATCCCACCTGATCAGATTCCTCATGTGGTCTGCCTTCCTTTCTTCAACCGTGTTACCCGCTTCGCCTATGTAAACCGTACCACAAGAGCACGGCAGTTAACACACCCAACCGGCTTTCTGCTCCATAGGTTCTGAGTCTTGAGGTGGCTTAGTCTGCTACATAGAGTAGTTCCGGGTGAAGATCTAATACGTCGCAGTTTTTCAGTCAGTTGAAGAATGTATGGCAAGGAATTGTAGGTTTTGTTAGCAGGTGAGCGGGAAGACGACATATTCTGATAAACTCGCCAAGCCTTCATGAAAAGTTTTCATAGGATAACGGTTCTTTTCTACAGTCGAATCTGATGCAATTTAGCTCTTGGCGTAAATCATAATCGGTTGTGCATACCTTCCGGTCTCTTTCGAGAAGTGTATTGACGATAGCTTTCTTTACGCAATCTGGATGATAAGAAGAGTGATGTAGATATCTGTCAGTGTGCGTCTTCTTTGCAAAACACCGTTGTCAAATATCTCTGCCTGTGGTGCCTTACTTGCATATCCAACAAGGGTATGCCGTTTTCTTCCTTTTCCACAGTGAAAACGATGAGGCTTGGGAATAATCTGTTAAGTTCACATGGTTCAAAAACGGCGCTTCAGTTCCATTTTTACAGAAGCCAAATATGTCGTCATCATACCTTCCGAAAAAGGTTCGATGGGCGTCTTTGTCACTCGTAGTGAAGGCCAAGTGTTCAAAACGTTCCATTAATATATCAACCAGGGCAAGGAACAGAGGCGATCCCATAGGGATTGCTTTGTAATGACGATATAATTGGCCAATGAACTGAAAGTAATTGAAACCAATGAGGCATATCCTGAGGAGCTTAAGAATCGAAGTTGTGGGGAAAAGCGTTTCATTCCTAAGGTCTTGGTCTTTTGACAGTTGTTCTTCAATTACAGAGATGCTGGAGGGATTTCGACAGGGATGCTGGAGGAAAGGCTCTTTACGTCGTAGCCCAGCATAATCTCATCGACGTCATTCATTCGTGGGGTAATCTCTTCGACGAACATTTCTAAATTTTTCACATGATTTCAGCTTACCTGTACGTGACTGGATTGTAATGCAACGCAGTCGTGCAACCACAGCCGAAACGCAAGATGATAATGCAACAATAGATCGCATAGGAATATTCGGCTTGTGGATCTTTGGTTAGCAGACCAATTGCATTTGTAGCGAAGCTTCCATAATAGTTCCTTTGTTTGGTCAGCGCTCATTTCATTTATCTTTCCCATAGTAACAATCACGTTTTTACAGGGACTTTATTAACCATCTTATGGGATCTTCATTTAGCAGGCCATATCCATTGTTAAATGGTTCTGCGCAGGTAGCAAGATATTTCTCTTTATCCATAACCACGCTTGCGTTTCATTTATGTGCTTCCATTATGGCAATGTTGTCATCCTTTTCAGTTGTTTCAAAGCAGGCTGTACAGACTTATTTAGATTGGATCCAGTTATCTGAAATTTTCGAGTCTCTCCAGAATTATTCATGACATAATTTTCATGAAGCCAGAGGCAGATGCGTCCCATTGCTGAGTCGCTATACAACCTTTTTCTGGCGGTGAGTCAACGTAGAATATAGTAAATTTTCTGATTAGCACATCTTGTGTCACATATTTCCTTCCCTACAGTAAAACCATGAAACATTCTCTAGCTTAAATTTTCTTGATAGCATAGTCGATCTTGAACGTACCTGTAATGGCTGCCGTTATTTCGATACATATGACAAAATGACGCAAGGTTCTTCGGTGTATCGCTGCTTGAACGTTGTTTCCCGCTAGTAACATACCTGCAGGAAAAGAATTCTCCTGGATTATTCTGGAAGGGATGAAACCGTCAGTCCACATCAGAGAGGGTTGTGGACCAAGTACTTGTGATGTGTCAAAATTTTCGCCAAAGAGTACCGATGGTCACGGTTGCATTGGTTTGCCAGTTCTTCGACTTTCAAACTGTTTCTTTTTATTCAGTACATCGTCCATCGACGTGGAATGACGATCGCCGTCCATCAATTGAGTACATTGTCCAGTTGTGCAAAAGTTCGTCTTCACTTGTGTGCTTCCAGTGATAACCTACGGCGATGCAGTGTTATTGCCAGCGCTTCACTATAACGATATGGCCGCTGCATCAGCGAATTTTCCAAATCAGTGGTATCGACATGAAAGAACTAGAGTGAAGAAACAGTAAAACACGTCATAATGGCAACAACAGCGCTTGGATGGATAATTCTCTTAAATCCTGCTAACCTTTTATGATACCCTAGTAATTAGTCAGTCGAGAAGGCTGGTCACTCGATCAAACTAAGTTCTTGTTCCCGACCGAACTCAGCGGTACCATTCATCGTTCACTTGCTTGCTGACTCTTCATCCGTTGAAGCAAACCTTCTGTCGCTTGTTTCCTGAGCATAGAGCACGCGGCCGAATTGTTTTGCTCAGTAATGTGTACACTGGCTGTTTCTGTTTACCTGTTACTTGTACTCTTCTTGTCTGTAGAGCAACTGTTCGAGCGACTAGGACGCAGTTCTTATCATAAGAGAGTAAACAGTTCTAATTTCAACATCTTGAATGCTATGGGATACCTGAACCCATTGAATTCTTTTCAGGAAACTAAGTAGACACCATATCTGCTGTCGAAGTCAGAGAGCTATTTCAACGATTTCGTATTAAGTCAGACTCTGTTGAGAGACTTGCCTTCGCTTTGCTATATAACACTGTAACAGGTTTGCTTCTTTGAAATAGTGCCGTTCGTGCCTAATGCAAGGGCTACTCCAAATACTTCTGGTGAGCAGTATCTGGAGTAGCTTCGTCTCTTGAGGGTTTTCGTGACAACGCAGCTACAAAAAATGCCCTCTTCTTTAAAAGTCGAAATTCATAAGGAACCGATTCAGCTCGGCCAAACTACAACGGAAATATTCAGGTAAAGTGTGAGAGGAGGTTTAACAGCCTAAGTGTACCAAATCCTTCATTTCCAGCCATGGAATTATCCAAGTAAGCCTATTCAGGATGGTCACTGTTATTTCCGTTGCTTAGAGTATCCTCATGGCATCATTTTGTAAATTAGCATAAAACACGGTTCCAGAGTTGAATTCTCCCTTCTAGATGCAATAACCGGTATCTTGTAGCACAAGTTTTGAAAAATGGTGAAGGCAAAGGATGTCGCATCATTAAAGTGTTCTGCACTTGTGTTAAGGTGACCCGGATTTGACAAAAAACGAGCACGGGACTTCTAATTCATGTTCCATCATTTTGGAATAAAACACGAGTTTGTCCCTTAGACTCAGATTGCCTAACATACTCTCAGTAGTCGTTTAAACATTTCTTTCTTCCGCTCTTGTGAGCATGCAATTCGGTAACGTATGATGCAACACTCGTTGGACATTCCCTTCAAGAGGGCGTCAATTTCTGCAGAATGTGATGGCTCGGTAGATAACCAATGCTGTTTTCAGTTTCTTGAGCGGCGCGATATTTGAACACCTGCAGGATTAAAGGCACTTGCCTCATTTTGTCAGTTACGGACATTTCGCGCTAATCGCGTATCATATTTGCTACCGCATAGACATTATAATAGGTACGGCGGTTTACATTAAATGGGTATAAATTCTTGAAGATCAGGTTTCACGGCTTCTTGCATAACTTACAGACCTAAAGAGTACATACATTACGTAGCACGCTATGGGCTATCTGAAACTGAGGCGTTTCGTACTGATGGCATTACTCCGTTTTTGAAAAATGGAATTGCATAATTTTGTACGATTAAGTTTTCGTTGTTTAAGTTTCTCAGAACTTTTCGTTTTATTTCCTTGTTTCGTCAAAAAAATCACCGCCATTAGCGCTGGGTAAGCGTACACATATCCTGATGCAAGATGTTTTGTTGTCGAAAACGACTTGACGATCCTGCCACACGTTACACCTGACCTGAAACAGTGGGACAGGGGGTGTTCCGAAATCTTTTTCTTTGACCTTATCGTTTCGCACGAAACTTCACAGAACTAGTTTAACCTGTCTGCTCGTTCATCGATCATTGCAAATACAGGGCAGCGGTGCTTGTTCTGAGAACGGTCACTGTGGTTGCTTGAGCAACAAGGAAATAGTTCAGTAAGAAGCACAGTGACTAGCCAGAGCGGAGCAGAGCAGGGTGTCGATGCGCAAAAGTGAGAAACTGAGAAACTCTAGCTGCACGAGCGCCATCACGCGATCATCATTGGTTGTGCGACTAAACTTCGATGATACCGTACCCATCCAATCAGCACCACGTTCTGACGCCGTCACGGTCGTCGTCGGGGCTGCAACAGCAGAAAATCGACGAGCACTACTGGCACAGGTTGATGACCTATTTGGAAATAAAACTGGATTGTGACAGAATAAGAGCTGAACGAGCGAGAGAGCGAGCGAGCGAGTGAACGAGTGAACGAGCGGGCGGGCGAGCGTGCCGCGCTGCGTGCAATCGTGCTGGCATATAATGTTCATAAGGTTTCGAATAAAGAGTCAATAGTGGTCCCCTGACGCGTTCACCTCTGTCGTGCCTGTACCTGGCGTGGCTGGAAGCGTTTCGGTTGGTTTCTGGGCTCGCAGCAGCGGTCGCTGTAGATTTCAATTCTTCCTACCGGAAATATGTCTTGAAGCAACGCCATTGCAAAATTACTGACCGAACATCCTCTCAGTATTGGCGGCCATCGACGTCCTTCGACCAATGACGACCACCGTGGTCAGGCCCGCACCCACTGTCGCTGATCAAACGGGCCGATTTGCATCGTACGTCGAAAAAACAGTCGCTCTTTCAGAATATATTCGCAAAAGGTAACTGTTTTCACTTTTCAGTTGTGCTCGGCATGTATAACCGTACAGTGTTCTGTTCAGTTATGCTTTGTTCTTGAACGATCGACCAATCACCGTCTACTTCGTTACCGCGTTCCTGCTCGGCTCGCTGACCGCACTCGGAATTCACCTCAATCCGTTGCCGGATTTTTCCGCGCCCACTCTAGTACGAACGATGAGTTGTAGAGAGCAGGTCATCAACCGGCTTCTTTCCTTTAGGGATTCGACACCAGAGGGACTGTCCTGAGTGGTCGAGTTCAAGCATGGAATGCACTGGACGAAAAAACTGCCTATTATCCAGAGTCAAACAAGGAATTTTTTCGGCAACTACCTCCAAGTGACGTAATTCCTAGGTAAATTCTTACCATTCCTTTAAAACTGTGCATACGTATTTGTTCTGATTAACTTGTAAAAGGTTCTGAATCTCAGTTCTTCTACTTTCAAATGCTTCGCTAAATCTATGTCCTGACTTGCTGCATTTTTAACTGAGCGATTTCGTGATAAAACGATTTCTAGCCATAGTTGTCAGATGATTTGTAAAACCCACGTGGCAATGACAAATGTATAGCAATCAGTCTTCTGATGTAAATGCCAAAAATGACTTGGGCAACCTATTTCAATATGATTCAAAATCTCTCCAACAATGGGGAAAGGACGTTAATAAGAAAAGAAAATTTAATAATCTTACTCTACTATACCTCCGCCAAAGACGGAATCTCTAAAAGGCCCTCTTCGTTGAGCTTTGATGCGGCGCTATCTCTATAACAATCGGTAGCACCGGTCAAGACTGCCATACTTGTTTCTCGAGAAAAGCATTCGTTGGACTGACGTGTACTTTCTTGCTCTAGTGGTACTTATTGGTCTACCGCAACATAGTGGCAGGTGAATGATACGGTTAAAAATTAGACTATGTGTAAATCTATAAAATGCGTGTCTCCGCGCTGAGCCATCTCGACCATAAAGTATAACTATAATAATGATTCTTCTGAACTAATTCTGATACTATTTTCAGAGTTCACGTGGTTGATGCAAATTTTAATGCGACGGAACAATTTTTTTTAAACACAAAATCGTATCCGTCACGAATGCTTCAACTGATTCAGCACAATTTATCTTTGATGCAGTCTATAGACGTTCATGCATTAATTAAAGAGCACATTAGAAAACACATGAAAATATAATTACCCATATTTGCTTCAAAAATTTCAGTC